ATGAGTAAGTACATATGGTGTTTGTTTTTCTGAATCTGGAAGACCTCATTCAGCCTTTTTTGTTTGTTTGTTTTGTTTTTAGTTCCATCCATTTGACTACAGATTTCATGATGTCATTGTTTCATGATGTCATAGCTGAATAATACTCTATTGTTTACATATGCCACATTTTCTTTATTCATTTTTCTGTTGAGAGCATCTAGGTTGTTTCCAGGTTCTGGTTGTTAAAAATAATGCTTCTATGAACATAGTTGAGCAAGTGTCCTCGTGGTATAATTGAGCATCCTCTGGGTATATGCCCAAGAGTAGTATCACTGAATCTTAAGGTAGATTGATTCCCAGTTTTCTGTGAAACCACCATACTGATTTCCAAAGCAGCTGTGCAAGTTTGCGCTCCCACAAGCAGAGAAGGGGTGTCCACGACTCTACATCCTCTATAATATAAGCTTCCCTTGGTATTTTTGACCTTAGCCATTCTGGCAGGTGTGAGATGGTGTAAGGTGGTATCACACAGTCATTTTAATTTACATTTCCTTGGTGATTAAGGATGTTAAACAATTCCTTAAATTTTTTTTTGGTCATTTCAGATTAACTTCCTAAATAAAACACCAGTAACAGTGAGGGCAACAATCAATAAATGGAACCTCCTGAAACTGAAAAGCTTCTGTAAGGCAAAGGACATGGTAAATAAGACAAAACGACAGCCTTCAGAATGGGAAAAGTTCTTCACCAATCCCATATGTGACAGAGGACGGATCTCCAAAATATACAAAGAACTCAAGAAAGTAGACATGAAAATACCAAATAATCCAATTACAAATGGAGTACAGACCTAATCAGAGAATTCTCAACAGGAGAATCTCAAATGGTGTGTGGATTTGTGATTTTACCATTTCATACTGAGCATTGAGATTTTGAAAAGTTTCTTTTGGCTTCAATGTTTTGTAGCTTTTTTCATAAGCCAGCTTCATCTTCATGCGTACTGCCCACAGCTTTCTACATTTGACATTCTCTCTGGTCCTTGTTTCCAGAATTTCATTTCCTCACTCTCTGGCAGTCTTGAAATTTGTTGCCTTCTCTTTTGCCAGAGCCTTTTCCTTTCTCTTTCATGCTCAGCAAACAACTGCTAGTTACAGTGGCTTGGCACAGCTAGCATGGCTCTGCTTGAGTGTTAGCTTGCAGGGCCTTTTGTTTTATAGCTATCCAAGGCGTCATTTGTGTTGTCATCCATAATAGTGCAACAACACTGAGAACAGAACCCCCAGATTCTTGAATTGCAACTGTTGAAGCCATTTCTTGTTTTCGCTTTCAATCATATACGTTTGCTGTTGTTCTTGTGATTTCTTTTCCCTTTCCAATCTCTGGACTAAAGTATTCCAGGCATCCACTGATGTCTTTCTGCCTCAAAAGGGAGGTGGACTAGGTGTATGTAGTGACATAGTCCTTCTGTAGCACTGACCACGCCCATTGGGGGGTGGAGCGATGGGCGGAGGTGACCTGAGGAAGGAGGTTGGAGGGGGCCAGGAAGGCGCTCTCTCTTTCTGGCGTGACTCGGACAGGAGAGAATCGGGTTGAATTTCCCGGTGTTCATCTGTCTAGGTTGTAAGTTATTTCTCCCTGAATAAACATCTATTCGGCCTATTTGTTTATCCTGATCCTTATTTACCGCAATAGGTGTATGTTTAGGTCTCAGCTATTCTTGGCTTTCTAGTTCTCTACTTTCTCAACTTTGGTTCCATGTTCTAGTACTGAGTTTGAGTCTAGATCTTGACTAAATGTGTCCTGATCAATCATTTTCTATCCCTGCTTCTAGGTCTTGACTTCCTTCTCTGATTCTAGATTGAGACTTCTTTCTTTCCTACTTCAGTGGAGACTTTCATGAGATGTAGATGCTGAGTGGCTTCTGCCTCATGATGACTTCCCTTCTGTGCTGTGTCTGCCTTCACCATTTTCAGATGAATTTATTTGCTCCTTATTTATGAAATAAATGTTTTTTGTCATTTGTTCTCAGACTTGTGTGTTAGAGGACTCAACTTGGAACTGTGTCTTCATGTCTTTATCATGAAATAGGCTTACTATTTGGCTATCTGAGTCTATAGCATCTTCAGTTCAGCCGTCTCTGTCCTTAGCTTGCTCTTTGCTTCTCCTCCAGCACCTGTGTTTATGTCTTGCATTATCTGACTTGCAGTTTCTTTCTGTTGACCTTCATCATCATCTTGAATAATGGTGTTTTGAGGCTTCAGGAGAAAGGAATGCACCTCACTGCTTCATTTTCTTTCTCTGTCTCAGGATGTTTTTTTGGGGGGCTTTCCATCTTGTTCTGTGTCAGTAGCCTGTGAACCTAATTAACCGTCTTTAGTGAAAATATCCTCTTGGACAGAAGTATGGCAAAACATGCTTTGTCTGTTGGTATTCATGTTATCACACAGACTGGGCTTTGGCTGGTAAGATCTTGTGCAGGTCATGTGACCTCTCCACAGCTTGGATTGCTTCATTTTAGAAATTAAAACAGTCCCCTTTCATGTCTTTCCTTTTCTAGTTTTTCTTCTTTCCTCTTTCATTCTTTTAAATAATCAGAGTATAGGTAGCATGCCATCATATACTAAAAGCTGGCCTTGAACTTGGGATCCTTCTCTCCAATTTTATTATTATTAATGTTACTTGCATTTCCTGAACTACAGAGCTGGCCACATAAAGCCATTACTTTTAAATACTTGTTTACAGCTATCACTTTCTCCTTGTCTTGTGCACATTACTATAATTCCTTGTTGAAAGTTTATACAATTGGGAAATTACCATAGTTTTAAAAACTATATCAAAAATCTCTGCATTTGTGAGCCAAACATAGATAGCTAAACTGGAGATTTGAGTGTGGTCATGTATTCAGTCTGAGTAGAAAAGAGGTTATTCTCCTTTGCTTTTCTTGTCTAGGGTAGAGTACATTAATGATATCACATTATGACAATTAGGTTATGAGTAATAATCAAAGATTTATAAACATGGGAAATTATAAAAGTTAATTCATCAAATGAACAAGGAACATGGTACTTCATCCTATAATACAACTGTGTGTCTTCATTTTCTTTTAAATTTATTACAACAAAGTCATATTTGGATATCATATAGAAATATTTGTTCCAAATGACAACACTCATATGCTAACAGGAATGTTTAAAGAAAGTCTAGGCAACTGCACCTCCAGTTGTAATGATAGTTAATGTTTGTTAGAGTCTTAGTAAAGTCTCATTGATGAGGACAATCACACTTTGTTCAGATTCATAGCAAAGTCTCATTGATGAGGACAATCACACTTTTTTCACTAGGATGTTGAGAGAAAACAGAGAGATACTTTAGTTATACTTCATAGTTATCCAAGGAAATGCATCAAGGTCATAGGCTATGTCCTGACTTTCCTTGGCCTTTTTTTCATCTCATTTCCACCTAATGAGATGAAAAGAAATGATAAAACTGGACCCCACTGTGGGAGCTTTAGGATAATACAAATTACATTGTTTTATTTATTTTTAATTGATTTATTTTTATATTTATGAGTGTTTGACCTGGGTTTATGTCTGTGTACCATTTGTGTGCCTAATGTCCACAAATGGTAGAAGAGGATGTTTCATTTCCTGGGACCGGTGTTAGAGAAAGTTGTGAGCTGTGATGTGGGTGCTGGAATTGAACCTGGATCCTTTGCAAGACCAGCCCGTACTTTTACCTGCTGAGTAAGTTCTCTATTCCTTATTATATTATTTTTAATATAAATAATTTTTTATGAAAAATGTTATTTGGATTTGTTAAAAAGTTTTGTATAATTGAGTACTTACACATACTGTCTCTCTCTTATTTATGTGCCCTTGGCTTCTAGAAATTTATTATACATAGTACCAGAAGTAATAACAGCAACTGCCACTTACTGAAGATTATTATGTGTCATACACACATACACCACACACACACACACACACACACACACACACACACACACACACACACATACACACACACACTTGAAGAAAGTTGAAGAAAGTTATTATTTTTCCTAGTTATAGAAGAAAACACAGACTGGCTTCTTATGTGACAATTCATGACTTCTAAGTGACAAGGTTGAAATTCAAACCCATGTTCTTTAGTCCTCCATTCAGTGGCTTCCATGGTCATTGCAATTCCCTCTCGTTGACTGTTCTCAAAGATATGTGAAAATGATATAAGGATGATAGCTTGGCTTCTTAACCTTCTAAATGATAGTCAAAGTATTTCAGGTTCATCCAATCATACACACATCTCCCAGCACATGTTAATATAAATTAAATGAGAAAACCACCACCCTGAAAATGCTGTTTGAGCTTCCTTAGATAAAAAGCAGAGAGATTATGAATATGGAAATTGATAAAGTGGGCTGTAAACTAACATCATATCTTTAAAACAGAACTAATTTTACACATCAGCTGAAGAAGCTCAGATGGTATCCACAATCAGAGAACTAGCCACTACAAGAGAGTGTAACAGTGTCTCTGTTCACAGGTTGCTAACAATGTGGATTTAAGGAATGAAGTTTCTGGATAGTAGTAAGGCTATGCTAATAAGTCTAATGTTGAAAATAAATAAATACATTATTCACATAGGACTAGTACATAAATTCACTTTAAAAACATTTTCTGTATTTTCATTTGCAATAGGAAATTAGAAGAACCTAAGCTATGATTATCATATTAGCAGCTAAATGAAATTAAGTACATATAATACAAGGGGGAAATTGTAGTTATATTCAATTTTAGGATAAAATTTCCTTATCCTTTATTTTTGTTTTTTAATAATTCCTAATTTTCTATGTCCTATTGGACATTGGTCAGAACTGTTTATTGTAGTCTAATTCAACATTCACTGGTAGAAAAATAATTATGACCCAAGTTTAAGTATTGGTAGACGTATTTTAAAACACACAGAATACAACTCTAGGCATAACAGCATAATGGACACTGAAGGAGAATCAACTCTACCTTGCATTCTGGACAACCATGACTTGACTGTATTCATTCCAGAAGTCAGAGTAAAGGGAACAAAAGGAAAGAGGGAAAGACAGGAAGAAAAAAGTTAGGAACAAAACTAGATGGGAAGTAAGCGAGTAGCAATCACAGACACAATGCTAGAACTGACTTGAGGCCAAAGATAATCTCAGAGCTACGGTGAAACAGCTGTCACATGGCAAATAAATTCTAAATATTCAGCCACTCAGTAATTAGTGAAACATTAATGACAGTCTAGGAATTGAACATGTCAGTTACCTAAGAGCTGAATCCCACTTTATGAGGGATAGTTAGATGAACTATAGAAGGATAATATAAGAGATGTGCATTTTTAGTCCATTTCACTATACTTTTTAACATTTCCCAGTTAAGTATAGAGCTGGCTGAAATCTCCATGTTACCTGTCTATCTGTTCTGCTTATTCAACTTTGCAGCTTTCCACCTAAGTCACACCATGCTTACATATAAGTATTCTTGTGCAGTGTAAAAGATGACACTAGGAGTCACTGTAAGGAAGATGGAAATAAATGACAATACCTTTTCCCTTAATCCGTTAAAAAAATACGTAGAGAAAATCCGTAAGAAAATTTCCCATCACTTCTTAATTTCATTAAAGTACAGAAAAGCTCTCCTGACCAAAATCAAAATAAAGTTTTTTTTATTGTTTGTATGTTATTTTTGTTATACCCCTCTTTAAAAATGTGGTCAAGTTGTATATACAAATATATAAATTTATTAGTTGATTAAAATAAAAGAGTCGCTGTCCTTGGTCATGTGGCTATTTTATTGATTCTATTTAAGAATCAATTGGGAATTTCAAAAATCCTTAAGACAATTAAATAAGACCAACCACATCAACAATTCTAACTTTCTAAATGGAATTATTGGGGTAGCTGTAGGAAATTAGAGTAGGAAAACTGTGATTTATTCTCCCTGTATCATATGATTTGTTTTCATCCATAAATTAAAAATTGTGAGGGATTAGGGATCAGCCTGTGGTAATGTAGCAAGTAAACAGCAGATTCACAGCATGTGTATGAAACTCTACTATGGCTTCTTGCCAGACAAGCTAATCATTGTCAGAACACACATTTTTATAATGTGGCTGCTTTTAAGTCTGTCAAGGCTCTGCAGCACACAATGTACTTCTGCAGGATGTTTGACATGTATTTAAAAACATTTGTTGTTGATGGGTAGCATGTCCTGTAAACTCCAGTGAGGTTCTCAAGCCAACTAAATAACATTTGAAACATTATTAAGGAAACTAAAGACTTTTTTGTGAATTTTCAATGAATTGTCATTTAAAGATACATACTAAAAGATTTGCAGAAAGAGTTAATTGCTGGGATTTCTTTCAAAATGATTCGGATATAGGAAGCATGTAAGAGTAAATGTGAAATCTAACTGGCTAGTAAGTAAAAGCTTTTGAAGATAAAGAATGGTATAGACTATGTTCTCTGCTTCTGTGCTATAGGTAAAAATTTCCAAGCAAAAATCAATACTCAAATGTCATCTCCAAACTAAAGCAAAAGGAAGCCAATGTTGCCATCAGCGTAGGAAGTGTTTCAATAAACCTCCATATGTTGACTGTTCAGAGTTCCACAACATTAATTTGGCTAATATAGATAGCTTAGATAAGGCACAGTGATTTGTGGACAACAAATCTCTGTTCTAAACAATTTTCAAGTACTCGTTCATGCAGCATAACATAGCTATTAGCATCAATTACTACACATTTCCAAAGAACATCTAATCTTTCACTTAATATTTTTATTTGGGGCTAGGGAGTGATGTATTCAAGTATTTTAAACACATGTGCTTCCATGGAGTTAGACCTCAAGTCTAGAGAAATTACTGTATATAAACAATGTACACATCCCACAAGAGATTCAGAGATACCTCTTATTTATATAGAAACATCATTACTTGAAATGTTACTATTTTTTCAACATTGATTTGGAAATGTGTCTATAAATAGGGTTTTATAAAAAGTCACTTAGTAACACATATTGTGTGAAAAGAAAGTAAACAAAGGTTAATTTTTAAAAGTGGATTTATGGATGTGAGCTAGTTCTTGAAATGTGCCACAGTTTCTTACATGCTTTTATAATTAATCTGACCACACAGCACAAGAGTGGTTCCCACAATCAGTATGTTGCTTGTGCCCGGGGAAACTGACTTTATTCTAACCACTGCTCTCTCAGAACGCTTAAGGACTTTGTTTAACATTTATTTCAGTCTTATCTACTAATTAGAAATAAATGTGACAGTGAAAGCAAACTAAGGACAGGGTAAGGACATTCCAGGTTAGGCTTTGAAATTAAAAATGGAAGATTCTCTTAGGATTGTTTAACTGTGGACTGTGACACTTAGAAGACAGTACCTCTTTACTTACCCTCGGCCAGGAAGTAGGTACACCTTAACAAAAGGATCGGAGTAGCCATTGTTGTCTCTAGGAACAAGATTTCTTGCTTGAAGAATATGTATTATAAGATTTCCAAGATCATAGTTGATTTGAAGCTGTAGGGTATAGAAACAATTCCATGAAAAGACAAAAAGATGTGTGAAATGGTATCATTTCATACTTTGCTAGCTTTTCAATACTTTACAAGAAGTTACTTACTTCATTTCAATTTTATTTGAAACTAAACAGTTACAGTTAATGCACAGTTTAACTGGAAGCTCATAGGCATATCTGAATTTCTAATAAACATAATGTTCATGTTTATTAGACTCTGCAGTGGAGAGTGTTGGCCTAGTTAAAGTTCATTTAGCATGATCATAATATAGTATATATTTATTATATGTTCATAATGAAAATTTATCCATAGCAAAATAATATACCCCACTTATATTCATTATTACAGTTACTAGAATTTTGAAAATAAAATAAATAATTTGGAAATATATTCTAAAATGGCATTTACATTTCATCAATGAGTGGTGAGATAAAAGGTTATGTTGAGTGGTTTCTATCAGAATTAAGATATAAAAATGAAAGAAAATCTAGATTTCACTTTTCCTAATTTCTCTGACATTAAGCTTGTAGTTTCTCCTTCCAAACCACTTGTTATAACGAATGATACTGGGATGATACTAACTTAAATTGTAGAAGTGACTCCTGTCTCTAAGATGCTTATTAGATGCTCACATTGCTTTGAAGAACAAGATTTACAATTCAGATAAATATTTAAAAAGCTGTCATAATCTAAAATGATTGAGCTCAATTGTTTTCTCTTTTACCATTGAAGGATTCTTTTGTCATCATATAGATTAAGTCTTAATTTCCTTTTAAGTTTTCCAAGTAATAGAAATGAAAACAAAAAAGTATCTCAAAGAAGAAAATCATGTGTAAAAACACTAATGTTTTAAATTAATTCATAAAAATGAAAAAATGGTACATTATATTTAAACTGTAAGTGGTATAATGGACATGGGCCAAATTTTTGCTTAAAATTTCAGAATTAATATATATCATCAGTTTGGCACATTTTTGGTCAATTAGAAAATAAATCTTTAATTTTATGATTCCACAGGGAAAAGCCTTGGTATTTTTTAAGAGCATGAAAAATTTGTGAATAACAAGGTAATGTGTCCCCAGGGAAAACAAAGACAGGAATTTCAGAACTGTGTGCTAAGACAGGACAAAGACACACAGAGGTCAACAATCCACACTTTGCTTTCAAGTGACACTGTACTTGATCTATTTCTCACTTACCTAGAAATTTGCAGGCCTGTTAGAGAGACTGATTTTCAAAACTTTCCTCATTCATTCCCAAAGACCTCCAAGGAGGTCAGAGGTCAGACCGGAGTGAGCATGGGATATCTTGCCATACTCACACAAGAGGCTCCAGTGTCAACACCTTTATGATTACTATTGTATGTTAGCCATGGAGATATGGCTCTGCCACACAAGGGAACTAAATGAAACACCAACTTTCAGTATATTGTAACTTGGTGGTTCTCAACCTGTGGGGTATAATCCCTTTGGCAAACAAATCTCTGTCTCCAAAATTATTTACATAAATATTCATAACAGCAAATACAAAGTATAGGGGTCCCTATAATATGAGGAACTTAAAAGGTTGCAGAATTAGCAAGGCTGAGAATCACTGATGCTTAGAGGCATTGTGTCAGGAAAATCTCAACTTCAGAATTATGTCTTACAGCTGAAGGGTCAGATGAAGGAGGAGAAACAAGGGTACATCAAACCCAACAGACATGGCAAACAGCAGTCTAAAGGCAAAAAGTTAAAAATATAGGAGAAAACCAGTAAGAATCAAAGCCGGAGTATATCCTGTGTTGCCTGTGGAATGATAGAAGGCAGGTGAAAACACTGGCAACCAGCACATGGATGGGAAGATCAGGGATGCTCATCCAGTCATGCTCAGCCACACCAGTTCTGTCCAGGTGAGGCACCTGGATCTTTCCTCTGCGTCTTTGCTGCCTTTGCCTCTGCATAGTCACTTCCCTGTCTTTGTACCCCATTTTTTCCCTCCTAATACTTTCTGTAGGCTATTGCTACATGGCCATTATTAGGCTTCCCCCATCCCTCTGCCTCTCAATCTAAAACATGTAACCCTGTGCTATGTTTTGTGAGGGATAATTCACCTCTGCTTGCAGGCAAGATTCTTTTTGGAAGTGTCAACCTCTCAAAGCTGATTCCATCATAGATTGACTCTGAATGAAGCAGTTCTCTGTGTATTACTGCTTCCAGTGACACATTTCCCCCTCCTCTATGCTCATTGAGTCATTCGTTTGTGTCTCTGCTGCCCTGTGAAGGATTTTGTGAGAATTTTCTTCACACTGTGTTGGAGGCACACTTGTTGTTCATTATTGGAACCTTGTTCTCCTCCGATAGCTAATTTGTACTGTATTAATTTCTATGTGACATTTTCAACTACCTAGAATTAATTTTTGATAATTCCTAAAGGCAAGCTTTAAGAACATGTTACTGTGACTCATACTAATACAAAAACTGTGATAATACAATACACAAATATAGAACTTTATGTAGGACTAAAGTAACAATATTTGTGCTTTTTATTATATTTTCCAGTCAAAATATTTACATATGAATTATAAAGCTAATATGACCTACAATATGAAATATTTCCCTATGATAGTTGTTTATAAGTAATTACAAACCAATGATTTAACAAAAGATATCACTGAATTTATGAATCTTGAAGATATGCCTTCAGGCTTTTGGAAGGAGAAGTTGTGGGTAAAATGTTCAACAAGTACATACTAGCTGAAACTCAGTACCTACTGAATGAGGATTTTGCAGTCTGGAATTTCAAAGCTATGACTAGTTTCTACACGCATGCACACACACACACACACACACAAATACACACACACAAATACACACACACACACAGGGACACACACACAGACACAGGGACAAAGTATGGTGTAACATTGTGTTTCCTATACCATTTTGTACTTGCTACAGAAAGTGAACAATTCAAAAAGACTGTTACAAACTCAAATACACAAATGATAAAAACAGAAAATGTGACAGAATGATGTTATTAAAAGTTTTCCATACCTGAATTTCTCCTGTAATTGGATGAGAGGCAACCTTTGTTGCATCAGAAGGCTGAAATATTAAAAACCACATATTGCATTAATAAATAAAGAATTCATAGGTGTTCTCATTTCAACTGTTTTTTGAAATTAACTTCAATTAGTTATTGAAGTACACTGCCTACAAAATACATTTTATCCATTTGATTGCCTCAGACATATAGCATCTAGTTAATAATTCTCATACTTGTTTAAGTTTATGGGTGCATAAATCTCTTTTGTATTTTGAAACCTAGTATGGAAGCTATGATTTTGTATCAGTGGTATTTTCAATTACTTACCAATGAATACTTTAAGTTTAAAGCATTCTTTCTAGATCATTTAGAAGTTTTAAAGAGCTATTTAGTAATGAAACAGTGTTTACATAAGACTGTGTAGGAGCATGAGAGCTGCAATGACAGTCATGTCCTGTGCTCCTCTTCTTTGAGATCACTGAACAGTGAAGTAACCAAGAAACATTTTCCTATGAACAGGTTATCTTGAATTAAAATTTACCTTTGCAGCTTAAATTTTGTTTCCCTCATAACTCCTTAGGCAACTGGAGTTTCCAAAGCAGTTTGGAAAGTAATTGAGGGGTCAGATGTGGCATACACCTTAAATCCCAGAAGTCAGGAGGCAGAGGTTAGTGTACCATTGTGAGTTCCAGAACAGCCAGTGCTACACAAGGACATACTGACTCTAAATAAATAAATAAATCTAAAGGACGTGATTTTGTAAACTAATTTATGATGATGAATAAATACTTGTTTATGAACTTGTTATATTTCCTTTTTATTTTTATACATAAGTAGATGTCAGTGGCCATGGAAGAGGAAAGTTCCTGCTGGATGAATCTTGGATAGGCAAGGCCCTGAGACCACAGACCCTGCTTCCTCTGTGCCTTTCCATGTTTGCTGCAGCTCTTTCTCTGGTACCTGGCATGGTGTGTGGATGGTTCTAGGGAGATTCTCATTGCTTGTAGTGTGTTTATTTCATGGGTATATATCCCATTCTGCTGGGCATTTTTACCTGTGGATTGCTGTGAAGATCACTTCTCTTTTTCTTTATACATTCGTATTTAAACTGAAAACAATCTTATTTTACATACCAATCCCAATTCCCTCTCCCTTTCACACTTCCATGCCCCCCCACGGACCTCCACTCCACCCTACCATCCATTCCACTGGGAGAGTGAGGCCTCCCATAGGGGAATCATTAAAATCTGTCACAACATTTGGGGCAGGGCCTAGATGCTCCCCCATGTATCTAGGCTGAGAGATTCTCCCTCCATAGGGAATGTGCTCCCAAAGTCAGCACACTAGCCATAAATAGGTCTGTCTTACTTATTTCTTTGGGCCTAAGATTGCCATGAAAAACTTATTGTACTTTGTTTTTAATTTTATCATCTATTTTCCCAGAACATTATTTTATTATCTCATATATTAAATATTTTATCCCATTTTACAACTTCATCTGTCTTTACATTCCCTCATGATAGGTTCAAATATATGTTCTTCAAATAACTAGTTCAACTTTCAAATATTTGAGACCTCTTTTTATAGAGTCCTCCTGACGTTTTGACAGTATTGTGACAGCAAAATCCTATTTCATAAGAACACATTAAACTAACAAAACCTTAAATTAAAGTTTAAATTATTTACACCAAAATTTAGAAGAAATAATCCAGATTTTAAAAATAAAAAAAAAAAAGACAGGTTAGAATTCCCATGCTAAAACCTGTCAAGAAAAAACTACACACTGAGTTAGTTAAAGCAATAAATAAATAAACAAAAATGAAAACATTCAATATATTTGTGTATTTTTATTGCTAACTGAATGAGACTGAAATTCTGTTGTATTTCATATATGCATAATGTATAAATTATTAGCTAATAGTCTAAAAAGTGTATCCTTTCCAGAGAATCTTTTAAGAAGTTTTTAAAATACATAAAATAATTCTGTGTATCATTATATAATTTTAAAGCTTATTTAAAAAAGTACAATTCATATTTGATATATATTTTCCAAAGAAACCATCCAAAATATTGTTAATGTTTTAGCAATTGTTTACACTAATCACTTATGTGTGGGAGAAATACTCAACAGTGGCCTGGGGAAAACTTTTGTATGTAACTCCAGGTTAACAAATGGGATAAATCAAATTTCCATGCTTCTGCCTGGGTAAGGAAACAAACACATATGGACATACCCCCTCACAACAGAGAACATCTGTAAAATATCTCTAACAAATAATTTCCTCTATATTTAAGGAACTTCAAAACCTCAGTCCTACAAACCAAATAACTATAAAAATTGATTATAGTCCTTAATAGATAGCTCTCAAAAATATTTCAATTGATAAGGTCTATTAAAAAATTCCCAACACCCCAGTCATTAAGGAAGCACAGGATTCGTGGAGATCAACCCTACATACATACCTAAAGAAATGGTTATTATTACAAAGATGAAATGTACTGGAAAGGTCGAGGTGAAAAGAGAGCCCTTAAGCACTGTTGGTGGGACTGCAAATTAGCACAGACATTTTAAAAACAGCATGATAGATTCTAAAACAGTGAATAGGCTCCAGAAATCCATTCCTGGCCATATATCTAAAGGAAATGAGTTTTGTATTTGAAGAGGCCTTTGCATGTTCACATCTATTTCACCGGGCAAGCAATAGAAGCATCAGCTCGTCAACTGATGATTGAATAAAGGATAAAGGAAATGTGATGCCATAGCTGTCTTACAATCCTTCCTCCCTCTCTTCAACAGGACTCCTGGAGCTCAGCCCAGTGCTTAGCTGTGGATCTCTGCATCTGCTTCCCAGTTACTGGATATAGGCTCTCTGATTACAATTAGGGTAGTCACCAATCTGATTATAGTAGATAATCATTTCTGATATCCTCTCCTCTATTGCTAGAAGTCTTAACTGGGATCACCCTTGTGGACTCCTGGGAGTTTCCTTGGCACCTAGTTTCTCCTGGGGTTGGAGCTTGGTCCTGCCTCAACTTGATGTGTCATGCTTTATTGACATCCATAGGAACCCTTCCCCTTTCTGAATAGAGATAGAGGAGGAGTAGATGGGGAGAGGGGAGGACAGGAGGAAGGGGGAAGTTGGGATGTAAAATAAATAAAAAATTAATTAATAAATAAAAAATGTAATATATATTTATGAAAATGTGACATACATTTGATTGCATTCTGTTGAGATATCAAAAAGCAAAAGATCATATTGTTTGTTAAATCTGAATTAAAAAAATTATTCAAGTGCAGAAAGATAAGTACTGCATGACTTACTCTCATGTAAAATTCATAAATTGAATTTTTCATAGACATAGAGATCAGAGTGGCAATTTATCAGAGAGGAGGTAGAAGGAAGAGAAGGAGGCAGTTAGGTGAGAATATGACCTAGAGTTTGATTGATTAACAATAATGTAGTATTTACCTAAACATTTAGGAGAATTAATGTTGAATATGCCCAATATGAATAAATAGTAATAATCACATGTGATTAATATTCTACCCTGAGAAGATCATCCCAGAATACTAGAATAAAAAGATTGCCAAAGTACCAGTAGATGGCTCACTGCATAAAAGGGCTTGTAACCAGGTCTAACAAGAGTGGGACTCCATGTTCAAAAAAATAACTCTGACCTCCACACATAAACATGCCTATCCCTACCACACAGTCAAAATATACTGAAAGAAATAATGAAACAAATCACAAAATAATAGTAATCTGTAAACATATAAGTATTTTAATCAAAAGCACCTAATAAAACATTTAATAAATATACATATGTAAATATAAGATGATATTAATATCAATATATCAAATAATTATATTAATTTAATAATTAATTTAATTATATCAAATAATGTGAGTGAATTTTAAAAATTTAATATTTAATTTAATTATGCCTACAGAAATAAAAATATTTAAAAACCTAATTCTGTATATTAACTTAACATATGGCATATTTGGCTTTGCTGTTGCTTGACATTAGGCTATGAAAGCTAAAAACAAAAACTCTATGCTTTTAGCATGTTGGAAACAGGAAACAAATGATAACTCAAAAATATATTATTTAGCAAATGTTATCGGCTAAAAGTAACTTAAAAATAAAAGAAACAAAAGATAAGTAGGTAGTAAGTCCTTGCCTAAGGTAAACTGTTACACACACACACACACACACACACACATAGAGGCATGCACATATACACAACATATATATTCAAAATAAACAGATTTAATTAGTGTCATTTCTAAGAGTTAAATAATCTCTGTACTAGAGCTAACCAATGGAGTATATTTATGTCATAGAAGTAGTTAAAATTTTCTAATAATCACAATGAAAACAACCAGGAAATAATATAATAATATTTATATTAGTCCTAAATATTATCATTTCATCAAGTTAGCAAAGTAGACATTGTGTTGAGATATTTCAGTCTTTTTTTTATACAAAGTCACTGGAATTTGGCTTGCAATTTACATATACATAGATGTAAGCTGAGATCAGCTGCATGGGATTAGCAGTTGCTCTTTGGACAATGTGTCACTAGAACTATGTATTTCAGCCAAATATTGCAAAATTATGCAGACCTAAATTATTTACAAATTTAAGAATGGCTACATGTTGTACAAGCACCAATACCATTTTCCTAATGCTATCCTACTTCAATACTTTTTATCTTCTAAACCATGGTACCCAAAGCTAACATATTATAGTGAGTTAAGGTTATAAATTCATACACATGACAGTTTGATGCATAAATGTTTTTGTTACTGTTCTGTGCAAGCCACTCAACTATAATATGTGGTCAGGTGGAGCAAAAGTATTTCTTTTTAAGAGACACAGAAAGCACCTTGGGAAGGAATGAAGGGAGGATGAAGGCAGGATGAAGGCAGGCAAGCAGGCAGGCTAGTAGGCTAGGAGGCAGGAAGGCACACATGGAGGTGGGAAGGAGAAAGGAAGAAAAAAATGGGAGGAGGGAAAAGAACAAGGAAAGATTTCTAATTTCAGAGAAAAACTAACACGATGGCCTCATGGAGGAAGTGTCTTGTTACTCAGTATTCTTACCTCAAGCCCATTGCCAGCTTTGCATTTCCTACATATTGTAGTGGAAAGGCCTAGCACAATACCTTATGCTTTTCAATTTGCAACCATCTGTTTCTATGTGATTTATGCTTGTGAATACCTACCTATCCTCAAGACATGTCATTTTCTGTCAGAAACTCTTCACTTTGTGTTCTCTCTTGGAATGTAGTCCCCTTTCTACATTTTACCTAAATGGATCTTAGCCACCACTGTTCTTACTGTACTTACACCTGCTCAGCTTAGCAGAGCATCTATTCATCTGTAATTACATCAGTGATACTCGACTACAAAGAGCACTGCTGGGGAAATTATAAACCTTAGGTCCTGAGCTTCATCCACACAGTTTTTGAAATAGTCAAGGCCGTGTAAAAATGCAGCTCTAACACATTCCCACATGGCACTCTACCAAATCTGCTGAAGCAGGAATATACTTTAGAGCCACTGGTCTCCTTGGAATGAGAGGGAGGGTAATTTTCTATCTGTAATGTGGTAGAGCATGACTCCTAAAACTGAATGATCCTGGGCAAGTGATTGTGGAGCATAAATGGAAACTCTCATAAATGTAATACTGTTCACAAGGATGCCAGGGCACTCATAATAGCATTATGCCACATATAATGTCTAAGAGAGGAAACCTGTGTTCTTTCTATGTTCTTTTAGAATGTTACCTCCCCTAATGTCCTATCCTACTTATTCTAAAAAAACCTAGAATGCACAGTGCACATTCAGTTAGCAAGAATACCTCTTAAACAGGAGAGTGACAGGTCAGAAAAATTACATTGTATTGTTGCTTGCTTTTTCCATTTTGAATCACTAGTGCACTGTCCACTTTTAGTTCCCCAGCAACTCAGGAAATAGCACTGGAAATGTTGGTTTCCAGTAAAGATATGCACGTGAAGAAGATCCCATGAGTTGGAAAAGAATAAAATTCAGATAGGTGATCCTATGTCACTGATGTCCTTTATTTCCTGTGGCATAAATTATTTCTCCATCTTTGTACTTTTTACTGAGAAAAATCTAAAATCTATCAGAATTTGTATCTGGACCAGTTAAACAGTCAGAAGAGGGCAATATATGTTTCATTAGATCCTTAGGGCATGACTAGAAAACTCTTTAGAATGTCAGGTCCCTTCCCATCTACCCTCTGTCCAGAGGAAACAGCCAGAATTGGCCACTTGTAGCCACATGGGGGCACATCTCACCTTGCTGCTGCCATGCTTCTTTTTGCTCACTGATGGTGACCCTGGCTGCCCAGGGCTGGGAACAGAACTGGATCCTGCTGATGTAGGACCTGAGTGAGCATGAGACCCTTTCTCCACGACAGATGACATGACCAACGGTGACTGCTGGAGTGAGACCTTGTGCAGTTCTGCAGCCAACTGCTTGGGATCAACCCCTGGGGATTTTGCCTTATCCACTAGAACAAAACAAAAAGCTTTATGTCTTGGGTTCATACTTTGGCATTTGTTGGAGTTCTAGGTGATGACACACCATTATTTAAAGATTATGCTAAACTTTCAAAACCAAATGTACTTAATGAGAGTTCTGTGTACCCATTTTTAGAGAAATCTAGAAGATAGGTTATAATGATGAATCACAAGGGTAGTCTGAAGTTCTATTAAGTCTTTAGAAAAATACTTTGAATATTTTATTGCATGAAAATACTCTACTCCCAAGACCTTGCTTCTATGGACACAAATCTTCTCTCTTCTAAATCTTCCATATTTTGTTCTTTATGGAAGAAATTTCACAGAATATATATATATATATATATATATATATTCTGTTGAACCTGGCTAGTTGATTTCAATAACCAAGACTTCCTAGTGTGACTGTAATAACAATAGCAAAAGTCCTAGTTGTGCTGAAAAAGAAAGAAAAAAAGTAGTAATTATATGATTAAAATAAAATGGCTCCATGGATTGCTTTCACAAGATGAATTCATATTTAACAAATTTAAAACAGGAACTCATATAGTACATATTTAATATAGACTTTTTGCCTACTCTAACAGTTAAGTATGCAACATGTTTCCCCAGAATGCTAATAATATAACTAAAATACTTTGGTATCATTCATGATCACATCACATACATGTATATAAATCTGTAATTCTGTAATTATTGCTGTATGTATATCAAAGGCAACTACTTATATATGTTCCTTTTCACCCATGTTTGACATCATACTGCTGTCACCTACCAGCTTTAGGTGGCTCATGAAGTTCTAGGTGCTGTGGATTTTCGGAATCAGACAACATATTGAGGTCCCTAAAAATTAAGACAGATTATTAAGGAAGACATAGAGGAATCCAAAAACCAAAGGTCCCTTCTCCCACCTGCCTTGATTTTCTTTTTAGGAGGTCAATGAGAAGTGGTATATGATATAAAGCAACTCCCAGGCATGCTCACCCTGCTAACCCAGTTCATATTAGCAATGCTGTTAAAAGTCAACGCTGATAAAAATGATCATTTAAGGTGAAATCTTTATGGATTAAATGCAAGTCACTTCAAATTATTGCACACATTGTGTTCTGGCCTTCTTTTAAAGGGAGCATATTTTAATACAAGCATGAAAGGGAGAGCTGTGACACCCAAGAAATAGTTGCTGGAGTCTTGACTCTTGCTGACTGGCAAAGGTTCCACCTTAACAATTTTAAATCAAAAGAGACATGGAAAGCCAAAAAATGGAAACAGAAAGATGGGGAAAAACTCACAGTCTTACACATATTTCTGCTTCCCCACTTTGCTGATTAATGATGCTCTGTACTTCTTCATATGTTTTTGAAGTTAAGGGGACCCCATTCCATTCCAATACTTGCATCCCTAAAAGACAAATTTGAGTATAAAATCAAACATGTGTGCTATCTTCAGTCTTAGTTCACAGGTTACAAAAGACTTTCTGTGCTTTTAAAATCCAAATCAGCACACCACGTCAGAGAACATTGGCTCAATGTTCCCTAGAACATCATGTAGTTGGATAAAAACTTACCTGGATGCATAATATAAGGTTAAGACATGTACATTTTGTTTTTAAAGATCTATTAATTCTTACCAAACACATGCATTCTGTTCACACTTCTATAAAGAAAACTATATTGAATAAACAGACAAGTAATTGCAACCATTAGCTTTAGATATTGACTTCTACATTCTTTTATGGAATGGGATGGTACAAAGTCACTAGGATCTCCGGATGAAGAGCTCTGCTCTTGATTCTGCCTACGTAAGTCAGATTTTCCTTTGTGTCAGAGGTTTATGAAGAAAACAGCAAGCATGTTACAGGAAGGTCAGGTTTGTGGGTCTGTGACCTGTGCAATAGTACAAGGCTCTGTGTTCAGACAGGCTGCATGCTCTACTGTCATCTTGAAAATCTGTTTTTTCATTTATCATTGCATCTGACAAATTATATACTCCTCTACCTAGTCAAGGCATTTTGTATATGAAGTCTATGTGAAAAGATAATTTTATGCAAAAAGAAAATATTGATATACTTAATGTTTAAAAATTTTTATATCCAGGGTTTTTGGCTCAACTTGTGAATTGTCAAAATAACTAAAAGTGCGTATTTGATATGAATCCCATGGCCCTTATATATATATAAGCTATATAAGATGGATATACATAGTATATCCATCCAATATCCTACTCAAATATTTGTGAATGTTATCAGCTTGACACTAGAGAAAATGTCTGTATGCCATAATATAGTAAATGAAAAATAATAATTACTGAACAATTTCATCTTTAATATACTTCATACTCTGTAATGGCCTATTGCTTATTTCAGCACTGGTTCAATGAAAAATTGTTAATATTGTGCAGTTGTGTCTTTAAGTTTAATGGTATAATATACATTGGGAAGCATATTGTGAGTTGCAATTAAGTGAAAGAAATACGTTTATAATAGGGTGGAGTAACAGAAAAAGTCCATCAAAAGGCTCACATAACACAGAGAAAGACTTTTCTATGACTTACTCCAAGAAAACTTTATCTTCAGATGGGTCTTAGGATTATTTCAACAATACCAGCTGTTGTACACAGAAAATAAGAAAATTATGTAAAAGACATTGACTCTCAGAATAACTCAGCACAGAGAAAGCAAAACATCTTTAAAGCTAGAAAAAAAACCTACATTTATTCTGAGCTCAAATATTAATGCTATAATTCAGTTATTACCCCGTCACATTTCTACAAAATTGTATTTTGTGGAAATAGTCACAGGTCTATTTTTTTCTTTCAAGCTTACCTGTTAAGGTTTTTACCTTTTGGCACAAAGAGAACACTGACAAAACTCAATTACTTAGTGAAATAATGAATATGTCTAATCATAATGAAGGAAAACCCACTTTATATTGCTCACCATATTATTGCCATAGCATGTACTTTTTAACTCTTGAGTTCTGCTCTGGGCAGACATCTGCACATCTTTTCCACTCATCTTTTTTGATGTTAGTCAGTGCAGTTAAGTTAAAAATATGGTACCAGATCTTTTGTCCTGGTTTGGTAACCATGCTGATGTGTAATAAAAAGGGTCACTACTTTCAGCAAAACCATTTAACACTTTCCACTCCAATGTCTCTCACTTCCTGAAAAAGAATGGAATACAACTTGTATTCATTTCATAAAATATATTTAGAATTATGAGTTAAATGACATGTGATTTCAAAAAATATATTTGATTCAATACATGAGTAAAATGTAGTGTCATAATCATGGAATCATCTCAGTAGATATAAAGGATATTTGATAATATTTTTTTTTTGTTGTTGTTGGGAGACTTTTGATGATTGCTTCTATTTTGTTCAGGGTTATAGATCTATTTAAATTGCTTATATTTTCTTGACTTAATTTTAGTAATTGATATCTATCCAGAAAATTGTTTGTTTTTTTAAATTTTTGAATTTTGTGGAGTATAGGTTTTCAAAGTATGACCTGAATATTCTGTGGCTTTCCTCAGTGTCTGTTATTATTTTCATTTTTGATTTTGTTAATTTGTATGTTATCTCTCTGCTTTTTTTGGTTAGATTGGTTAAAGGTTTGTCTGTCTTGTTAATTTTCTCATACTGCGAACAAACTTTGGGAGCCCATTCCCCATGGAGGGATACTCTTTTAGCTTAGAAATAAGGGGGAGGACCTAGGCCCTGCCCCAAATGATATGACAGATTTTGATGATCCCTCATGGATGGACTCACCCTCCCTGCAGAGTGGATGGAGGATGGGATGGAAGGTTGGTAGGGAGCAAGGGAGAATGGGAGTGAGAGAGAACTGGGATTGATATGTAAAATATATTATATAACAAAAACATTTTAATACACTTCATACAATTAAGCATAAACTTAGTATAGAAGTAGTATATGTTATCACAGTTTAATATATTTGTAATAACAAATGGGAAAGACTAAACAATTCACTCTATGACCTGTAATAGAACAAAGATGCCCATGCCCAGCATATTTACTTAGCTCAGGCCTTCAAATGCAAGAGAAAGACAGGAAAGGTACTACAACAAGGAGATAGCAGCCAAACTCTCACTGCTTGTACATATAATTTTACAACCCAGAGCCATAAACACATTATTAATAATGATTTAAGACTGTTAAATTTAGCAGAGTTGCAAGATACAAGGCCAACATAAAAAAACCAGTAACATTGCTATAAATGACAAGAATGTAAACACCTTTATAATGATACAAATTTAAAAAAGAAATAACCAGGAATACATTTATTTAATTATGTGAAAAATCTTTAAAATAAAATGTAAAAGTCATGAATGTCATTGATGAAGATACAACAAATGCAAATATAATTATATGGCCACATTACTCAAGAATCAATGATGTTAAAAATGTTTATGAATTCAAATTTTCCTGCCAACTAAAAACAATCCCTATTAAATATCAAAGACAGTATTCGTTTACAGAACGGATGGTCTAAAAAATAGAAAACATGGATGTGCAACTTGAGAAGAAAATTGAAGCAGGAAGCATTGTACCAGCATATTTAAAAATAGTTGGTATATTTGTTAACTGTAAAACCCTAGAAGCCAACTTATGTAAACATGTAAAATAATATGTGCAAAAACTTTTGAAACTTACATTTTCAGATATTCATATTTTCAGATATTCTATAAAGTATTATTGTATCATTGTAGCAATTGATAATTTAGATGTATTTCCAATCTTAAAGTGCATTTTCCCTGGATTATAGAAAATTTCCTAGAAAATATTATGCATGCAAATCATGTTTCCTACTTAGAATTAGAAGCAAACATGAATATTTCCATGTATTTAAGTTAAGTTACATTTTAAATGGTCTGTCCAATTAGAATATTCACAGTTAACATTGCAATGTGATCCACAGACAATGTTTATTATACCAGCTACCAATATAAGAACTATGACAAATTCTTAATTTTTGCCAAATGTGTGACAGTGACAATTTGTTGTTGAAACTATACACTCAATAGATCATCAGGGAGCATCAGTAGAGTGAGACATATAAAGAAAGGAATACTGGAAAGGACAGGGTAATGGAACACATGTGACATAAAGCAGAAGGGAAGACACTCATGGAAAAGAAAGGACCAGTGAGAAGGGCACATAGGGCACTAGGGAGGGAAATGTGGTACACGGGGGGCAGATTAGGACAGAGCATAATGACTCATATGTATGCAAGTACCCAAATGAAATAAAGTAGTATGCAATTCTTCACTGACCTTGAAAGGATAATAATCAACTTTACATAGAAAAGCAAAAGACCTAGGATACCCAAAACAATCCTGTATAATAAAGGAACTTCAGGAGGCATCACCATTCTCGACTATAGTCCTGAAAATAGCCTGATATTTACACAAAAACAGACAAGTAGACCATGGAATCAAATCGAAAATCCTGATATTAACCCAAACACCTACAAACAACTGATTTTTTACAAAACAGCTAAAAGGGAGGAAAGCATCTTCAAAAAATAGTGCTGGCACAATTGGATGATGGTGTTTAGAAGACTGCAGATAGACCCATGTCTATCACAATGCACAAAATGAAAGTCCAAATGGATCAAAGACCTCAACATAAATCCACACTGGACCTCTTAGAAAAGAAAGTGGAAGGTACCCTGAAAAAAAATGGTACAGGAGACAGCTTCCTGAACATAACACCAGTAGCACAGACACTGAGATGGACAATTAATAAATGGGACCTCTTCAAACTGAGAAGCTTCTGTAAGGCAAAGAACACAGTTGACAAGACCAAACAGCAGCCCATAGACTGGGAAAAGATCTTCACCAACCCTCCATTTGACACAGGACTGATCTCCAAAATATACAAAACACTCAAGAAATTAGTCACCAAAACACCAAATAACCCTATTAAAAATGGGGTACAGAAATGAAGAAAGAATTCTCAATAGAAGAAATCAAAAAGGTTGAAAGACACTTAAGAAAGTGCTCAACATCTTTAGCTATCAGGGAAATGCAAATCAAAACAACTTTGAGATACCATCTTAATCCTGCCAGGATGGCTAAAATGAGAAACACCAATGATGACTCATGCTGGAGAGGATATGGAGAAAGGGGAAACACTCCTAAACTGCAAGTGGGAGTGCAAACTCATGCAGTCATTTTGGAGATCAGTATGATGGTTCCTCAGGAAAATGGTAATCAGTCTACCACAGGACCTGGCAATCCCCCTCTTAGACATATACCCAATTGATCCACATCCATGCAACAAAGACATTTGTTCAACTATGTTCGTAGCAGCATTATTTGTAATAGCAAGAATCTGGAAGCAACCTAGATGACCCTCAACTGAAGAATGGATAAAGAA